AGGTGACCACGTTTTGATTCTGAGACGGGAAGTGGAGGGTGAATAGGTCACGGTGGCCTTTTTAAATTTAACTTTTCCTTTTTTGCTGTCTAGTCATCCTCGTCGGTCTTCTGCTTCTTGGTGTCAACATCATCATCCTCATCATCTTCAGCTGCCTGTTTGCCCGTAGCTGCCTCGGCCTCCTCATCTTCATCTCCATCTTCTTCCTCACCATCACCTTCTTCCTCTTCCTCGTCTACCTCATTGTCAGCCTCCTGTTCCCCATTTTCCTCGTTAGTGTTCCCATTAGCGGGTGCTTCTCTTCCATTTTCTGTTTCCTCCACAACCTCCTTCTTCTCCTTCAAGTCCTTGGTGGTGATCTCGGAGCTGGTGTCCACAGCCACGTCTGACATGATGGGGCACGCAGGTGATCTGATACAGAGAATGACAAAGAGTGCGAGAGTTCGGGGACTCTGGCGAGAGAGGTGCCGGAGTCCGCAGTGGCGGAGAAGAAGGAGCGCGGCGGAGGTGGCTGCGGGGAGCAGAGAGCCGGTCCCGGGAACAATGCAAAGATGGCTTTTCAGAGCAGCCAGTGGGACTTAGTTTTTAAAGAACTTCACAGATAATTCTAGTGTGCAGCTAGGATTGCACTATCTTGAGTTAGAAGCTGAGAAAGTGCGGAAAGGGTGTTGAATATGAGATTCTTTGCCCAATAAAACCTATGTGGGAAGCCTGTTCTTCTGTATGTGGTCTCAGGGAGGACTAGGAAATGCTATTTTTCTTTTAAAAGAGGGCTGTGTCATCAGGCATTTTAGACTAGCACAGAGGAGAATTACACTTATTTGGATGATGTACTGCAATCGTTAGTTCTAGGTCACCGTTCTGTTTGATTGCCCCTTCCTTCACTGTGCGGCAGAATGGAAGATGAGGGGGAAAGTCATGTATCTGAGCCCACCAGTGTGCAGAGGAAGGGTTTTCTGGGACTGATCAAGACCATCATTTCTGACACATTAGTACCAGTGTTTACTCTGCATCCCAGACTGCCCTTCTCCACTTTGCTTCTCCTGGCTCTTAGAGAGGGACAGTTTTAGTGTGCAGTCATGAAAGATGTCTTTTGTACCCAATGACCACCATACCAATATGTAAATTTTGATTGATAGTTTAGAAAAGGATCTTTGGATCAGTGTGGGAGAGGGGAGGAAGAGAGCAGCTTTGGGTGAAGATTGTTCCACACATAAAATGTTTCTAAAGTGGCAAGGTGGTTTCCCCTTATTATTCCAAGGCGTGTGATAGCCAGTGTTCACTAAATATTTGTTGAATAAATGTCTGGATGGAGGCAAGCACTCACAGAAGGTGCTATATCTCACTGGGTTCCATTGTCACTCTCCCATAAAACAGATATTGCAATAGTCAGAACTTTATGTGAAATTAGGGTCAGTTCATGGGATGCAACCAATCTGCAACTGGGCAAAGAAATAAGGATTTTTTTTCAAAACTGGGACTCTTTCCAGTGTTTAGAAAGACATTATCATACTTTGGTGCAGAAAGATTTGGATCTAAGGAGCATTTGCTGTTGCATTACAACAGAAATGTGTTCACACGGATAAGCACTACTGTAGGGAAAAGATGTGGGGACATCAGAGAGGCAGTTACTCAGCATTAGGAGAGAGCAGACTGGATGGTGTCAGCTTAATATGTGACCCCTTTAATGCAAACTTGTTCCTTTGGAGGCTTCCTTGATAGAATCTGAAAGCATGATTTTCTTGGGTGCTTGGAATTCCCTAGGCTAGCTCTGACCCCAGGGACCTCTGGTAGTGAGTCAGGCTGCTAACCTCATCAGCAGCAGTTTAAAACTACCAGCTGCTCCATGGGAGAAAGATAAAGCTTTCTGCTCCTGTAAAAATTTACAGCCTCAGAAAACCCTACGCTATGAGTTGGAACCGACTCCATGGCACACCACCACCACCACCACTACCAACTCTGACCTCAGTTCTGGCTCCCATATTCGGGTGGTGAGGGAAGTCTGTATATTACCATCTCATACCTCCTGCCCCCTTGGGTGCAACTGCACTGGCCACAGTAAGTGACACTTCTGGTCTCTATTTTGTTCATTTTAGTTCATGTCCCGAGAATAGTCCATTAAGTTTTCTCTACTAAAAAGAGGGGAAAAGACCTTATGTTTTGGAAACTGGGAAGATAATAACCTAAGGGGTTCTTTAAGGGCCAACAGTGTCTACAGAGGCAGGCTAATGTAATGAGGAACTTAATCCATGCAGTTGTCAGTGTTTGCCTCATATCATACTCCACTGAATCCGAGGCATGTAACCCTGGGCACGTCCCTTATGCTTTGTACATCAGATTCTTTTTTTTTGTTTTGTTTCTTTATAATCACTAAAGTCAAGATAAAAATAACACTTACTTCACAGAGTAGTTGTGCATGTCTAGTGAATTAATGTGAGTAAAGTCATTTAAAAGATTCTGTCTTGTGCTACGTACTACCTATCATGAACCATCAAGTGTTTGTTTGGCACTAGGATAAGGGCTCTTTGCTAGGACTATGATAAGGGCTGTAAGAGGGATAAAGATCAGTTAGACATGTAGGCTACCCAGGAAGATAAAACAGAAATATTAGAGATTATAAAATAGCATTTTCATAGTACAGTGTATACTTTATTGTGCTTTGAAACCCCGAATTTTAACAGTACTGAAGTTCTTGTGTGATGCTGTGAGTTAATGAACTAGACTGCAAAGTTGGTTTGAATCACAAGGTCAGCAGTTCAAGCACACCAGCTCTATAGAGGGTTGCTATGGGTCAGAATTAACTTGACAGCATTTAACAACAACAACAACAAAGTTTAAAGTCTAATGCTTTAAATATACTTTATTTTAAAACAGGAGCTTTGGATAAATGGAAAAATTAAATAAATTTACCTTGGAGAGACGTTTTAAAAAAATAAATTAAAATCCAGCTCTAGTAAGATTTCTTCCCAATTATAAACACTTAAGTGATAATTTGTTTTCTATAAATGTCCATTTACTCTATCCTCCATTACCTTAGAGAATTGTGAGTTTGCTTTGTGAATGGGAGTGGGAAGACTGAGTCATTCATGTGTTCCTTTTTTGTATTCTTTGGGGACATGCTATTCATGTGGGAAGAACGGGGATCATGGCTGAATAAGAAGAATATTCAGATATTATGAAACTCTCACAGTAAAGAGTTGATTCTGTACATTTTCAGACAAGTAAGCTTTCTCCCCTCTGCTAGTAGTAATGCTAACTATTTAGTCAAGACATTGGCCTGTAATGTGGATTTGGTGTGTGTGAGAAATTCTCAAGATGGTCCATCTTCAGGAATAAAGGGCGCACAATATTGCTAGACCAGGCATAGGTTGTTGATTCACATCCAGGGATATGTAAGCAGGATGAACTGAGGGAAGGTGAGAAAAGAAATCTGTTCTAGGACTAGGAATCCTGTCACTGAGACCATGGGTGCCAGTTAGGGGAGACTGTGGAACTGGAGGAGGGGCTTTCTTGAGACAGGGGAATAAAACTACAGGCTGGCCATGTGGCACATCTGCCTGTGTCTCCTAGGTTGGGTGCCCAATTTTGCAAAATCAAACAAACAAACAAATAAACAAAAAAATCCTCACTCTCATTAACATGGGTACAGATTAGATTACTTGAGCATTTGTCTGTATTGACAACGTTTCTCACAATGTATATTTTACATATAAGGCTAATGTCATAGAAAACTTGATATTTTACTCTTAATAGTAATCTGCCATGAAAGTCCCCAGGACCTACGAGATACATAGACTCAATTTCAAAAATTTCATAGCCACTAAGTATGCATTTGAAAACGTTGTTTCACTGCCACCCCTTTTACTCTCATAAAAGGTTTCCCTTAAATGTTATTGCTGAATGTAAGAGGAAGTTATTGCTATCAAAGGCATTTTAACCTTTGTTTCTTGATTGAATGAAAGTAGTGAGTAATAAACCTAGGGGTAGGAGAGGAATTATCTTAAGGAAAATTGAAACACTATCTTAGGATCGTTCTGTAATGTTGTTGTTGTTAAGTGCTGTCAAGTCGATTCTGACCCAAAGTGAGCCTATATAGGGTTTCTGAGAAGAAGCTGTTGATCTTGAACCGCCAACCTGGCAGTTCTGCAATATAGACAAGTTTAATAAGTCCTGTTCCACTGGTATCTGTCTTCTCCCACCTGCACCATGACTGAACAGCTTACATCCTTAAGTTTCACTAATTAACATATTCACTCATCAAACAGTGTCACAAAGATAAATTTGACATTACTGCTTCACCAAATGGGTTTACAGTCCAATGGGGATAACACACAAGTTGGGCGACCAAGCATCACAGTTTGCTTCAGACAAAGGTGTTTCATGGGATGCAGAGCTTTCAGTTATAAACTTGGGCTGAGTTGTTCACCATGGAAGAAGCTAGAAAAATGTAACAAAAGTAGAAAGTGCTGAAACTGAGATATGCCCCATTCAATTATCCAAAGGAAGAAAAGACACCTTAGCCTGAAGGTTCAGGAAAAGGAAGTGACAATTTAACAGATTCTTGAAGAATGGATGTAGTTGCAGGTGAAAAGAGGGGCATTTTAGGAAGATAATTGTGGATAAAAGGTGCTCAGGGATAGTCAATTGTGGCTAGCTGGAGTATAGGGCTAACAGATGAACACCTGCATGCACTGAGCTTGTGAGAGAGCAAGAGGTAGGAGGAGGAGGTGGAGAGGTAAGGATGAGAAGCTATAAGATTGGAAGTATAGTTCAAGGCATTGCTTGAAGATCTAATATGACTTATCTTCCTACTTCCATTCTTACTCTGACATCACAGGCAAATGCAGCTTTGCAAGTTTCCACTCAGGAGGAGGTAGCTTATTCCTGTACTTGGGAGGATAAGATGAGCGTCACTCTATCAACCGTACAGGAAAGTTGTGCTGCTGTCTAGAAATCATAGTCATTTCAGCTCCCTCTGCTATCCTAGGTTATGTGCTTGTCTGGGAGTAAGAAGATGATTCAGAATTGTACCATAGTCCAGAGAAATACACAGTTCAATGTTTAGGGAAGAATGAAAATAGTTAATATATGTTATGTTGAACTCTATTGCTAGTTCTTAATAAATTCTTTCTGAGGTTTAAAACTGTAATAACATAGCTTAGATTCACTGAACTACAAAAAATATGACTAAACATTGTATACTTGTGCATACATATGCCCTCATATATTATGGTAGACATGCATAGCTGTGGATACAAGAATACTTAATGGCCTGACTCCAAGAAGAGTCAGAGAATTACCAAGGACACTCAGAACACTGGAGGATCATGAAGGCAGCATCACTGATATCTGGGATTATCCAGGAAAGGCAGTCAGGGAAAGAGGTTTAGTG